AATTATCTCCAATCAATTAAAAGTCATTTCAGGTTCATAAGGTATTTTTAATAAGGTAATTTATGATAAATCATTCTAACAATAAAGTACAAGTAACATGTACACGGCAGTTTTAGAACATGACAGTGTCGTACTGCTAGAACATGGTGAACGATGCTAGGGTTGTCTCATCACGATTTTGAACTAAAACTATGAGAAGTAGCCATGTAATTATCACCTCCCTTTTTGGTACTGTGGAACACGAGGGACACAGTTAAATGAGCTCAAAAGAAAGAACAATATCTCGTTAATTCACTTATCATACACCATGATTGGTAAAATTATACTGAGCATTAGAAACAAAACAGAAAATGTTCCCTCCCATTAGTGCTGGATGCTCGGAACATTAGCTTGCACATTTCATAAAAACGCAGCCACGGCACAATCAGTAAATGGGTAAAAAAATATTTATACTGAACATCTGCAGTATCTGCCCGAGGTACACATAATTTTGAACAACTTCGAGAACGGCACCGTGTACCGCAATCGGTTCCGGTAGTACATGTTCATTGAACATGACCTTGGTTTTATCCAAGTTCATGCGTAGGCCGATGCGTACAGAAGAGTCAACTAGGTCATTCAGCGTCTGCTGTAGGTCCTGAAGCATCTCTGCCATGATGACGATGTCGTCTGCAAATCGCAAGCGAGAGATTTACCTATTCGCCATTGATATTGATGCCAGGCCCTCTCCAGCGCAGCATCTTGAACATGTCCTAATGCCTTCCATACATTCGTAAATTTATTTATTAGATTTATTATTTATTAAATTAAGTAGCTCGCACAACCTTTATGTAAATACGTTGGAAATTGACGTATCATCTCACGTATAATATTGAACCCTATTTATATTTGCGGAAGACCCTATTGGACCTGGAAGAACAGTCATTAGGGAAAAAAATATAATCCTTCCGCCGAGCCTTTTTCCCAAACTAGATATTGGTCTACTTTAACTCCACAACGAAACGGCTGAACTTCTATTTTTTACACAGTGCGACTGCCATCAGACCTTCGCACTCCAAGTACTAGGCGATATCGCAGTTCTGTAGAAAGACTGTTGTTAGACTTATTAGGGCTCCAACTACCCGTAAGTATTGCCATAGATGTTTGTATAGCAACCGGGACCGACGGCTTAACGTGCTCCCCGGGGCACGGAGGGGTCTCAATGTGTTAATAATGGTCACCATCGATAGACTGACCTGGCTAGGATTGCCCAACTTTGCAATGTGTTAACCCATTCGGTTACTACTTAGCTCCTTAGCAAAAGTTATTTAATAATATTATTTTAGGGACTCGAGGATTCATTACAAGATTTTTAATGTCATTGTCAGTCGTCAGTAGTCATTTAGTTGAAAGAAACTATGTAACAAGTAAATCATAAAGTATTAGTAGCAGCCCTACTCTGTGCGGAATGTGGTAGGACTAGCCGGTTAAACGGCATGATGATATGGGCGTGTACTCGTATGTCAAGAACTCACTTGTTTCGGGCGCCGTTTGGCTTACCAATGTTAACTGCAGATAAATCTGAGTTGATATAATAACTAAATTAATGAAAATATGATTGTTTGAATGGAAGATAATGGCTATTGCACTAAGTTCGCCTTATTATAATATTTGCAGGAAGTATAAAGCAATAATTATCTCTCATTTAATAAATTTTAAATTAAGAGGGAATTCTTAACCAACAGCAATTATTAATTACAGCAATTATTAATTGTTATATAATTATTATTATTTAAAAATAGTAATCATTTGAATTGAACGTGAAATGTTTCTGATCTATAACACAATTGATTTAATTAAATTTACCTTTTAGTCCTTAGTAAAGGACATACTGACACACATCAAAACAGTGTTGTGGTATATTTAATGATGCCATTGTATCTAACTGAAACTGCAAAAGAGTGGTCAAAAGTTTGTTTGACAAAACAGACGACTTTAGACGATTTTAGTCTACATAAAAGACGATTTCAAACAATTTAATTGTTTTTATGAAATAAAAATATTTTGAGTTTGACTCCTATAATTTTCGAACCCGAATTATACACAAACAAAACAGAACTTTATTAGTTGGGGTAGACATCGCGCAGAACGCGTAAGCAGGTTGTAATACAACGTGAGTAGTTAATATACTGACAAAGATGTCACACAAGCACTCACACCGCACCTCGTGATCAAGTAAGTACCTACGTAAGATGCATAAAGCAATTATATTTTGATTCAATTTTAGTTTCTTAGTACTGAAAAAGCAAAAAAAAACTCATCGTACTTACTTCAAAAATAAAACTAAGTAGGAAGTATTTTTTATTGTTAATTAGTACACGATCCATAAAAGTTTTTGGTCGATAACTTTCACCAGCCCGACATTCAGAGCAACGGCAATACAGACGTCACGGCGCCGAATTTATGAATGAGAATAGACATATTGTCTATTCTCAATCATGAAAGAAGTTTTATACAATTATGTCAGTATTGGGAATGATACATCAAGAAAAAATAAATTGCCTTGTTAAAAATTTATTCTTATGGACCGTACCGATACAAAAAAGAGCACAGTCGCTTAGAAGAGATATTATTTCACCATATTAAGACATTAGTCCTTTCCTCTCTACAAACCTGACAACGCATGAAAACAAAAATGAAATAGAGTTTCAAACAAACTCAGATTTATTTACATTAATGATAATTAAAAAGGCTGATCCTATTTAAGTAGTTACAAAAAGTATTTATTATTAATTATCATAAAAGTTACTTCAATCCGTTATAATGTCCAATATTATCACTTCACATACCTAACAACAAAAAAGATATTTCAATTTAATTAAAATAAAATATTAGAACCCGTAGGTACTAATGCGTGAATGCCTGAGATATTATCGCTTTCCGTAACCGTACCTAATCATTATAAAAGTGAGTTACGAATAATTTAAGATAGAGGTACAATTAGGGTTACCATATGCCAGACTTTCGCCTGATTTACCAGGCATTTTAGCACTTGATCAGGCGTCCGGCCAGCGTTACTCTAAGTCAGGCCTTTTGAATTTATGCGCCGGTTGTATACGTCATAACGTTGGTAAGAACGTTTTCTCTAATAAACGCTAAAGGACGAAAGAACGGAATCAATTTAGTCCATAAAAGCTATAGCTATCACACAAGTGTTTTTTTTTTTGTAAAGAGTTATTCGTATATCTTATCCAAAAAAATTTGCGTCGTCAGAGAAATTTCAGTAGAAGTACTTTTTTATGTATTAAATATGCATGCATTTGTTTTATTATCCATTCATATCATATCCATTTTTCGTGAAAATCAAGCATAGATTTCTATGGTATTGATATGGTAACCCTAGGTAAATGACCGTTGACAGGTTTTTATCATTTCCATACGGCTGAAATGACAATGTTGTTTTTATAACGATCTCGTTATTGTATTTTTGAGTAGATAACACTTAAAAACAAGTAGCTATAATAATCACTTGTGACTATAGATGAGAAAAGATAAAATGTTTTAATACATTTTATCTTTTCGTATCTATAGTAATGAAATTCATTTATTTTCCCTCACAATAGTTTCTTATGCAAATTTACAAAAATGTCACAATGAATCAGGTAGCTTTGTGAGCGACTGGTGCCGAAGTAGGTTTAATAAACCTTTACTTACAGATCACCAGGTCTACAGTCTACGGTCACCTAAAATCAAACGTATATATTAATATGGATCTTTGAAATTTTGCCTTAATTAAGTTTTTTCTGTACTTTATTATTTAGATGCCTATACACTGAGGTTACTGGTAGCCATACCAACACTCAAAGGGCGCCTACTCACTTGTGTCCTTTACCATCAAGTGACCTTTCTGCTTTTTGTGCCTCATACTCAAAATAGATTACAGCTTACGTAACCAGTTTGCTAGGTAGGTATGATTTTTTGACAGTGGTTTACAAATTAGTTTTAAGGTATTTCGTCATAGGAAGACATTTTATTCACACTACCTCTATTTTATTACGAAATAGATAAATAAAATCAATTTCATACATTTTCGTTTATTTTTATTTAATCTTTGTAAGGGTTTCTATATTCTATTTAAGGGTGAATTCATGTATGATTAAATGTTTTTTTTTATTCTAAAGTTCAGAATAATTAGTAATCCTTTTGTCGTTGATCACCTCATGCTGGCAACATTCAATTTACAGAAATAAGTTACGGCTCAGTATCATAGTACAAATCTAAACATCCTCTTACTAATAAAAATGTCCCTAACAAAAAACTATTATTGGTAAGAAAGAATCTGAATTGATGTTGAAATATTAGAGTTTTGCACCGTTGAGTGTCATAGAAAGCGCTGACACTGGCGATATACAAAGTGGGAAATGAACTCTTGTAGCTGACAGTGACCGGAGAAAATGGCGAAGGAGATGCGGCCTACAGGTGTCGTACGTAGCATTCGTCAGTCGCAGGTAGATATTCGGACGTAAATGTTGTGAAGTTGCTACAAGAAAGACTAAGCGTCGCGCGGCGCCTCCATTGCGAGCGATTGGTGCGAAGGGAAAACGCCCGCGCCGTAGAAATATATTCGCGAGGCCGAGACGCCAATTTTTCAGAGGCGAGCTGGCGAACGTGTGTCCCCCACCACCCACCACTGTATGACAGTGACCCAAATGGAGCGCCGGCGCACTCAGTGCCGTGAGTGCGCGCAGGCCTGCACGACGTGCCTGCGCGTGCGTCCCCTGTAGCGCGAGCTTCCTATTCGCTGTCGTTTTAGTGTGATTTACGATCGGATATTACTGTGCACAATGCAGTGAGTGAGCACCGGCCGCAGCGCCGTGCATGTGTCGTCTTTACCCATGTGGATGATGACTTTTCCTAGGTAAGAGATGAAAAATAAATTACACCTGCAAAAACTGACGTCAGAATGATGTTCGCTAAAATGGTTGAAAAATTTCGAAATCGACAACAATTAGGTGGGATGTATGCAGCGTGGCAGGGCGTCGGTGAACGGGGTGGTGAGTCAGCCGCATCTCGAATTTTCCTCGTGGTCGTATCGCCATTGCCATCGAGGGGGTGTCGGCGGGAGACGCGCGGACCGTGCCGTCGGCCGGCCGGTGTTCGGTGCAGCGCGCTCAGCCGCCTGGCAACAGGTATCTGGCGCTATCAGCAAGCACACTGCCTACTCTAACTTCACCATACCGGCGACTCGCGCAGCGTGCGAGCTGCAAGCTAACGGAATTGGATTCCTCGCGGCCAAAATTCCGCTGCGAACGTTCACGCTGCGACCGACTGAAATAAATCGCTCGTTTAACGCAAATAGCACGACATTGTCGCCGCATTGACAGACTGACGAGCATTTCCGCTTCTCTTTTTATCTGCCTCTCTCGCTTACTGTATCATTAAAAGAAACTCTTCCTCTGACGTAAGCCAGTCTTCCGTCATGCATTATTAAATTAGGATATTATATTCACGATGCCGGACACTGGCTGTAAATCGATTTGAGTTTTTTTTATGACATGATAAATGTTTATGCAGTGCTTGACCGCACATCACAAACAGAAATTTAACCCTCATTATTATATTTAACTATCCGAGTTAGTTACTGAAAGACATGTGCCACGTCACCGACATACACGTATGTACATACATGTACGCACCCCTAAACATTCAAGTGGATAAAATTTCACCTGCGCTAAGGAAGTGAGATAGCGACATCAACTAGACGAAATTGTTACTTTGAGTATGAAATAATCGGCTGTACATGTGAACGTTAAAGCAGCTATCATGCGCGTGACGTCAGAGCCACGATTGCGCCCGCGCCGCGCTGCGAACTACGGCTGAACTTTGCGACGTTGTCAGTGATAAGAACAATTTATAGACTAATTTCGAATATTAACAAAGATAAATAAATAACTAATTTAACTTAGTTTTAAATACGAACGGTTTTAAATTACACAACCCTAAAATAAAATATCAATCTAAATAATTAGGATCAATTCCATCAAGGTCTATCATTATGTCCAACCCGAAAACCTCACATCACATAAATATTATTTCTGGACCGGCAACAAAAAGTTATAAATTTAATAAACATCGGAGGTTATCACGAGGTCCCCGGAGGAGGCCGATTGCCTCCGAGGCTGCGAGCTTCATGTCCCGACTTGTCGCGGACGCATAATGCCAAACAATTACTCATCTCTGAAGAACAAAGAAGTTCTAACATCAGGTGGTCTTTGTTTTTATCAAAAATATGACGCTCACATATTTCCTAGTATACTTAATACTTATACTTTTCTACCACAATTTATATTCCTGATTACTTAAAATAGACTTCTTTACGATGCGATAGTAACAATACATATTGTCTCTATAAAAAATATTGTATAATGCTGATTAGTTAGTTATGAAAATACAAAAAAAAAATCTAATTGCTCGGCGCCAGAAAAAATCGTTTGGAAAAAAAATACACTGGCCTGTAAGGTACCAAAACAAATTAAAAAAACATAGTTAACCATTATATTTACTAATCAGTAGTTTTTTAATTGATTACTGGTTTTTGTACTTTACATTACTGAAACATGAACATGTATTCTAATTAATATTTTAGACTTATATTTTGCTACATTTTATTTTTATGTTTAGCACGGGGTCTTTCAGAGAACTGGCCCTAGTGCACTATGCAACAGGGCTAGTTCTTGTAAAAAATTCTTTGTAAAAACCCGTGCTACATAAAATACGTTTATTCTTAGATAAATGATCTTAAACATCACGTAACTCAATTTATTGCAGACACGATGTGTTATTACTTAATAAGAAATTTCATACGTGTTATTCAATTAGTTTTAATGAGTCAAATAAATAAGTTAAAATCAGGACTAAAATCTAGAAGGAAAATAATGAATATAGTAAATGACACTTTCCAGTAAATACATATGGGAATGTCCAGCGTTAAGGAAATAACAGATTTCTCTTGAAAATAAGTTTCATGACTAAATGGACTCATTCAACTCAATTTAATATCAACATATTAATATTAATACATTCGTAAATTAACTAATGCTGAAGTTTATATTTAGAAGAAGTACAGTAAGCATTATTATGTGCTATAAGGTAAACGACAATTCCTTTTTTGGATGAGGTTTGTGGTTGGCATCTGAGTATTGTAAAACGTATTTTCACAAAGTATTATCTCATAATTACAATTTATGGGCGGAATGTCGAACACGCTTTTCTGCGCTAAAATATTCCAATGTCTCTATTACGTCTTCTAGGACTTAGCAGAGAACTGACAAGATCATAACTTACTCATATATATATTACTGGTGAATAACCTAAGATTCGTTGATATAATTTTGACATAATACAATATTTAGTGTAATGACGATAATAACAAACACTTTGTATAATTTTATTTACTACAATCATGCGTAAATAAAACATTTCTTTAAATCCTCATCATCAGCCTATCACCGTCCACTGCTGAACGCAGGTCTCCTCCAAGGATTGGCAATCGGTCTATTGTCTTTAAATTATTTAATTCAATATTCAATTTACAATAAGGACTATTATATTCATTAAATTTATTTTTATTTGTGTCAAATTAAACGAGACCGTTACGTCCCGTTTTGAACGAGACGGTCCCGTAATTTAATCAACAGTCCTAAGCATAAAGCAACGCCTCATAATAAAATAAAATATTGAATTTCAAATCATCATTCATTCAATCAATCAAAAATAAAACTATCTACGAGTACATACTGCTTTTTACTGTCCCGTTATTACAATGTTTGTTAATATGAATATGCAATATTAACAAAATGGCAAAAGGCGTCAAAGACATATTTAAAAAAAAACATAATTTTATTTATTATGACCATTTATATAAATGCTTAGGTACTTGAGACTTAAAGTTAGGTTTACTTTACTTATTTATTACTCGGAGCTGTTTCAATGCTAGTTTCGTCATCATTGTTCGAAGTTCGGCACCGTAAACATTTGCTGTTATTGCCTGACCAGACCTGAGAAAGCTTTAGTGAATAACATCATGAAGAGACCACCAAACAGTTACTATTATCTTTTATTGGCAAGCTTTGACTTAGGGCACTGTTGCGGCGTTTGACCTGGGGTTAGCCATTGCATTTAACGCTTACGGTTATCGTAAACAATCCACTTTTCGTCACATGTCACAATTCGATCTAATATTCCTTCATTTCTGTACTGCTTCAACAAGGCAACACAAGTTTTAACACGCATTTCTTTCTGCAGATCAGTCAAATCATGAGGCACCCATTTTGCATATTATATATTTTATGTTATTGATTTGATGAAAATGAGTCAATATTGTATGTAGGGTAACGTTAAACCATGCTGCTAAGTTCCTGGGTAGTTTGACTTGGATCAGCTTCCACCATCTCCTTCAATTCAGCGTTATTCACCTGTGTAGGTGGTCTTTCACGTGGTTTGTTATTAAAGTCTCCATTATTATGTTTCCATATATTATTAAGTTGCCATTATTATCGTTTAAACCAAAAACGCACCGTGCGTTCATTAGCAGCCTTCTCTCCAAACGCAGCGTTGACATTTCGAGCCGTTTTTGGCGCGTTAGTTTAGAATCGGAACTCGTATACAAAAATGACTAGGATTTTTGAAGTATCCATCTTTCACGTCTAAGCCGAATAAAAAAAACAATTGAAATTCGAAAATCGAATGTTGCACATTTTTTTAAACAATTATGTGAAAAAAGTTTTACACGAAAATCTCACACCATGAAGGTTTTATGTCAATTCAAAGTATTTATTATAGTAATAGATGCTTACAATATACTTACAACGGCAATAACATACTTTAACTCATATTACAAGACTCAGATCAGTAGTAAATAAGTTCTATAATTTAAAAACTGAGTAGGAAAACCTTGCGTGCCGTTTACTTTGCCCTTGCCGAGGCTGTACTGTACATTTAAAACTTATTTAGACATCATAAGATCATAGCAGATTTGTTTTATGCAGTACCTTATAGACAAGAAAACTATAAAGAAAACTAAAAAAAAAAACCCACACATCTTGGATTTGAAATTTGTGGTAGTATCCTACTACTCGAGCTCTTTCATTTGATACCCAAATTGAGGAATTATGAAATATAATATCCGCCATTTCGTGACGGTGGCCATTTTGGACCGATTTTCATCAAACATAGCTAAGAACACTCTCGACTAATTCACCTTTTATTAAAAAAAAAAAAAAAAATCAAAATCAGTTCATCCGTTCGGGAGCTACGATGCGAGAAAGTCAAGCACTTGGTAGTTCTAGAGCAGTTCTATAATTATAATTAGTATAAAGTTCAAGTACAAAATATCTACAATACCTGGAGGATGAGAGAGCCTGGATTGGTTCGATCAAAAGTAAAAACTATTATGGGAAGAGAACTAACAAGTACTTGGTCTCAACAATATGTAATAATATTTAAATGATACCAGTGAAGTTAGTCAATCTTCTTTAAAAAGCTGAGGCGTTACACAAAATGTACAGAAAGAACCAACCTAAAAAGGAAAAGTAAGTATAAACGGAGTTGATAAAGGCGCGGGAGTAGCCGGCGCGTGATTCTGTGGGAGCTGCTGACGCCTGACTTGGGCAGTGCCGCGTCACCACACGTCACTATTGCACGGCTCTCAGTATCGTCATTCATATATTTAGAATGGAATGTGGAAAAAATAATCGATACATGTTGCTGTTGCGCCTATAAGTTTCCGGATAAACCTGGCACTATTCCAGGGACTTTATAAATTATAGAAACCGATATTTTATCGCCCTAACCTCTTACATACTATCCCAATGGTCAACATTTCTTGAACTATTAATATAAAATCTTGTCAACACTGATGTTCTCCGGAGATCGGAATTTTATTTCAGGAATGTTGACATGCGCCAACATAAAATACGTAATATTAAGAATTTAAATATTTATGAAAAATTCTGTATTGTCTCAGCCCAAGGTCACAGCGCAGCGAAATTTTTGCTACTGACGAGGTCATAGCCAAACATTACATCATTTTGTTACAATGTTCTCTTTTGCTCCTCTAAAAGACTCTGTACTGACAGCCGGATATCCGTCCTGGTTAATGTTTGCCTTTGGCAATTGTTTACCGTCGACAAGCTCCCTCAATTCAAGTACAATTAAAACACAAAAGGATAGACATAGGGGTCTCACTATTATTTTTTAAGATCTACAACAATCGTGCCACATTTGCACATAGAAAAAAAACAGTAAATGTCGGTTTAATGCAATCCAATGTCGTGACAAATTGCGTAGAAATTTATGAACGGATCTTCACGTAAATGTGACA